ATGCATTTTCTTGTTTTATGACTGTGGTATCCCACCATGGTTTCCACTCTCTCTCTATGATGGTCGTTTTCATTTACCATTCAGTGTACTATTTCGCTGCATGATTTCAAAAATTCCATTATTAGTGAACTAGAAGACTTTGTAAATGAATTCAATAAAAGGTATATTTAAAAAGATTTTAGTAATTATATAATCAATACTTTTTAAATGGGTAGACATAAGTCAAATTGAAAATATATATATTTATATTAAATATTAGATTGAAACATTTGGAATAAAATTGATATTTTATATATATTTTGTTAGAATGTTTCCTTCAGTTGCAGTATGTTTGTAGTTGTTCTTTGTCTGCGAAATTCGAATGATTTACTGGTTATCCCTGTGTATTTCAGTGGAAATTTTGAAACGCACTTAAATTTGTTTAGAGAACCGAATTGTTCCCTTCATCTATGGGACTGAATTCCCTGTAGGGAGATTTCAGCCGTCGGCATTGTTATTTAACATGAGATTGAACTCGCGAGCGGCAACAGAACGCGCCAAGTGCAGCGATCCCCTCAAAGTTTTGTAGCTCACCCTCCCTCTTTTCAGTATCAGTAATGAATCTTCAATATCCCAGTGTTCGTAACACATAATTAAAATAGTAAATTCGTCGAATGATTCAAAAATTACGAATAAAATGTTTTTTAATTAAAATACATTAACAGAACACTCTTTTTAACGCTTTATACTTTACCTCAATTAATGACTCCTTTAACACTTAGAAAATATTATTACCAGATCTCGAATAATGTCCCGTGTATACCATAATATGATCTATGTGCTATTAAAGACTCACCGTCTAGTCGCCGACGACTTGAGAGGCTTCCTCGTCCTAACATGGCACGCAACTTTTAAATTTTAACAATTTTTTTAATTTTTGTCGTGATATACTTTACTTCAACACCATTCCCATTCGGGAATCACATCCGAATATATGCACCAGGAAGCACTTCCCCTGATGACTTCGAATAATTGGATAGATTATGGTGGACCAAGTACTTCTCCATTGAAGATTTCTCGATGAACTACAACAAAACTTATCCTCTACTTCGCACCACGATATCACAATTTAAAGAAGATGTCCGACCAGTTACAACACTCGGCAGAAATTCCTTGCTATCAGCGAAAGAAAAATTAATTTCTTATGTTGATGTTTTTTTACAACGCAACCCTTGCGCGTGCTATCATAGTAAGCACCAGTTTATTATGTGAGACAACCCACAGTTTCTCACACTAGAAGACGAAAATAATTTCCTGAAACACAATCGAGCAAATTATTATTATTTCAAAGTCATTATGATGTGTCATTATCGGTGTCATCGCTAGTCACCTGTTTTTCTTGATGTTTACAACTTTGTTTCAACTACCAAGATGCTTACCCATTGTATACCAGAAAGTCAAACCTTCGTACTTCTAGAGCATCAGAGTCTAACAATACGAGATCATCAGAGAGATGGAACTGAAGCGCATGATCTGGTTGACAAAAAGCGATTTAAATCCACGGATAAAATTCATCTGTTGAGACGCAATGGTCCATCCCGGACATCGAATCCACAACGACTTCGAATTCTCGTTTTCTCTTATGTCGAAAAATTTTTACATATTATTTATAAGTTGTAAGTCAACATCGATTTTTAATTTATAAATTTTTATGCAGCGAAATTGTTTTTTGAACATTTTTAAAACAATCATTTTGCGCATGATTCGAATATTACAATCTGTAACAGCAATTTAGAAGAGATCCAAATCGTTTTCTTACTTTTCTTTAAATATGCCATTTTCTGATTGTTTTCCCAATTTACAATTTATCGCGCTAGGTGTTAGCCTAATAGCTACTGCGACCACCGGTCGTTAAAAGAATTATAAATTCGGGTGTCATCGGATCAAAGACGAATGGCATTATTGTTACGATGACGATTGCGCGAAAATTCTCATCAGAGAGAAGCGTGCCTTCGTACACCGAAGAGATCCGCGAGATTTCTTTCTGTAAACGTAAAATAACGCGTTTATGTGTGTGTGCTTATCGCGCATCGACGCATCCTTTTGCATCGTGGTAACGCGCTTTATAGTTAATTAAATATTTACTTTTTAATTATTTTTGTTTTATTGTATTGTTCCCATCACTAGGAATATCATTTATAGGAGAACATTTGCGCTGCTATTCAATGATCATCATTTGGTAAGTTTGCTCAATCTTCTCTATCTCATCTATCAATAATATTGCAATTGCTCATTTAATTAAAACTATAGGTAAAATCATCTCTTGATACGTGAAGATTTCGTTCATTAACCTTTGTGTCGACTGTCGTGAGCCGAACCCTTATCCTCATTCATTTAATTTTCAAAAATATTCAAGTCTCGCGAAGTTTGACACTTTTTTTGAAAAAAAGTAGCAAAGATGTAATGATCACCCCATCAAGTACAGAAGGTTTTAAAAATTGATTATTTACTTACAAAAGACTTACATTAAGGAAATCTAATAATCTCTTTTCATAAAAAAAATATGAAGTGGAGAAAATTACTAGCTAAAATTGCCTATTAGTATTGAATTTTTGCCTTGCGGATGTTGAAACTGACGTTAAATAACAAAGCCGACTTACGGAATAACCCCTCGAGGGTGAAAGGCTCATCGATCAAGGGGGATCAGGTTTCTCAGGGCAGTCCCAAATCGACGCCCCGGAAGCCACTCTCGTGAATCCGCTCCTGAAATGGCATAGTTATTTAATTGCACGAGGCTCCGAGTGGCCTCTAGTGCCTTATGCTAATGGTTTGGAATTTATGCTTCTGACATTAAAGAGCTGCTTTCATTTGCATCCAAAAAGACAGAAATACAATTTACAAACTTAAATTAACTGGAGGATATTAATCATATTTCTAATGCTCACACACGGTTATTTTGTCAGTTTTCTGTAAAAGTAATACCTACAAAAGTTGTCTCTTTTACCTTCAAGTCCTTTTTCTGAAACGTAATAATGAAAAGTTTTAATGAGTAATGTTTTTGCGAAAATTTGGTGACAAACATTTGTGTTGGACTTTCATTTTAATTTTGCTATAAAAGAAATAAAAATTGTCATACAGTCTGGAACAAAGAAATATGTTGAATGTGCAGTTTATAATTAGTATTATTATAAGCGTATATACTAAAATCGATATTCTGGCATATTCTCCTCACAAAGTTTATATTACAATGTGTGCTGGTTTTTTTAAAAAGAAATTTATGTCTTTCATCACTGCAATATTTCACGTAGCTAATGCAACTATATAAATACAATCACCTAGTTTTTCAATGGAACAAAGAATAAATTGAAAAAGAGTTTTGAAAAATTTTTGAAAAAGAAGATTTTAGAATAGGCAGGAACATGAAACGTGCCAAAACTTGAGAAATGGTGCGGTTTGAATTTCAAGATTGTTGTATACTTGAGGGAGCGTGAGGAAAACTTGAGGGCAATTTTGCGATTCGTGTCGCCACAGAATAATAATAGGTTGACGACGATAGTGCAACAACGGCGTGAGTTCATGTGCATAGAAAAAAAATATGCGCTAATTGACGTTGATTAATATCCAACGTCGTCGATCTTTTATTTAATTCACTTTACCTTAACTACGCCGGATACGGATTTTCGAGAATTAAATGCACGAAGAGAATTACGTTGGATATTTCGTTATCAACGCTTCGCAAAAAAGGGCGATTTTATCCATGATTTGAATATTATTCCCTCAACGATTTTTCACTTAATGCAAATTATTTTCTTTTTCCATTACTCTAGGATTATGAAACATTTTATCTCCGAGTTGGAAACTGCAAAAGTCATTTTTTATTGATAATGTTTATTCTAATGTGGTAGCTTTGTGGAAACAAAATTACAGAATTATAATATTCAAAATTAAAACATTTAACAATTTAAAGATTAAAATTATTGAAATACTAACTTGTAAGTTAGCAGAGAGAATTTGAATTTTATTTCATAAAATAATGCTAAAATAAATTGTCTGGCAACCTAATTTTTAGGAAAATAATTACCAGTTTAAATTTTAATTTGATAAATTTAAGCATGATTAATTGCTGCCTTCAAATCTCAATGAAGTATGTGGTACTAAAAGCTGAATGCTGTCCTATTCAAGAAAATCGAAATTGGGAATGTGGGTTTTTAAAGCTAGCGTTGAAATCTGAATCCCTGCTTATTAGCGAATAAGAGTAGAATGGGGTATTGAAAATACGGAATGCCGAGAAATTAAAGGTACGGTAATTTCAAACCGCTTTTTAGCTCATCGCAGATTGGCTCTTGCTACTAATAAAGTGGCTTAGAAAATGTTTTACATTATTACTACTTACAGAAGTAGTTTAATTTACATTTAATACTGTTTTTCCAATTCTAATTAAAGTTAATATTTCTTTATTGGCATTTAAACAATATTCATAATTATCAGCAAATTTAAAAAAACGTTACTTTAATCAAAATTCTCTGAAAAGAATTTTAAACATAAGATGCAAAGTCTTGAATCGTTTTATAAACTGAAAAAATTGTAGTTAGACATAAAAAAAGTCATCCTTAAGATGTCAGAAAATGAACATAAAAATGACAAACACATAAAATATGTCAATTTATTTATATGTAAAACTAAGTTTTCCATATTTATAATATTATGTATGAAAGCCCTAAAGAAAATTTCTTATTAGAATAAACAAAATTCTATTTAATGTGTAAATAACCATTTTTTGGCGTCTAATTTTTAGGTATAAATAAAATTGTCCCTTTTTAAAAAATATCAAAATTATATTATCTAAATACTTATTTATAAGATAACAATTTTCCAACTATTACCAAAAATTATGTTATATTAGAAAAATTAGACTTCACCTTTAAATAGTTGAAGGTTATCAAGTTATAAAAAACTCATTCTTAAAGAAATAAAATAACATGTTTGCAACTTTTATTATTATCTTTATTTCTAAGAAATGTAAAAAATTTATATTTAAATTAGAAGGCTGCACGGTTTACAAGTGTACAGAAATTTTACACTCAAGTTTGGTGAGAAAAAATTGTTATTTATTTATAATTAGGTTGCGCATGTGCTAAGTAATACTCCCCTCACAATAAATTATTTAAAAATCTTTTTTTTGTTTTTCAGAAGTAAAAAAAAGTATCAGAATCAGAATAGTTAATAATATGAGGCGAATAATATCAATATTAATTAATGTATTGTCAATGGTGAATAGTGAGAGTGCCACTGAAGGTGATATAAATCAATTACAATCAGCTCTTCAAGAATCTGCGAACTATATGTCAAAGTATGCAAAAAATGAAGATGTTACAATTTGTATTGGTGAACCACGAGCTGGAAAAAGTACATTAGTTAATTACTTAATTGGAACAAAATTAAAGGCTGTAAATTATAATAAATACGATCCAAATTTAATAGAAAAAGAAGACGAAAAATCTTTAGGTCCAAATATAGGTCATGGAACACTATCGACAACTACAATTCCTACAAGATGGGAATCAAAAGTTTATAAAGATTTAATTCTTTGGGATGTTGCTGGATTTGCTGACAATAGAGGACCAATTCAAGACATCACTAACGCCTTCTATATCTATCAATTAATAAGATTTGTTAAATCCGTAAAAATTATATTAGTTGTTGATGTTCTTGATATCCTTCAGGACAATCCTGTAAAGTTTACATCAGTATTACGAGCTTTAGAAAATTTATTTGGAATGGGATTGAGAAATTATTATTCAAGTATGGCAGTCATTTTTTCAAAAGGGGAAAAAACTGTTTTAAACTCAATACCATTGGACACGAAATTTATAACAGAAAAATTGAAATATCAGTATTTATCCGATAGTGGCTTGGCAATGTCTAAAATAACAAAAGGATTCATAGAATATTTAACAAAACATACTAATCAAATTGGCTTATTTATGAGAGCTGACGCTATAGGTGAAGTTACGTCTAATATCGACGTTAATATTTCTCAAGCTATCAGCAATTGTAAAAGTATTCAAAATAAAGAATTGCTAAATTTGCGTCCAAGTATTTCCGAAAATTCGAAGATTTATCTAAATGAATTTCGAGAAAAGTTGTCTTTAACAACGTCATTTGATAAATTACAAAAGGATATAAGGAATATACTTAAGAATATCGCTTCTGAAAAGAATTATTATTTTCGAAGACGTGAACTAAGAAGATTGCAAGCACAATTATCTATTTGGAAAGATAATGGTTTACTTAATGATTGCAATTTACAATTGATTATTATTCGAAACAGTTATGCCGAAATTAGGAGAATTATTGGCACGACTAATTTGTTGAATACAGAGAATCTAATCGAATTTCTTAATGAATTATTAGGTTATGGCACTAGTCTACATCTTTGCAATCACAATGAAAAATAATTTATAAGAAGCATATTTTTGAATAGAAATGTTAAATAAAATGTTATAAACTACAAATAGGTGTTTTCTTTTTTTCGGTAGTCTTATTCCTTACCTCTTTTTCCTACATTTGGATAAATATTTATAAGATAATTTTACATTTATAAATTTATAGATAAACATTGCACTGCATTGATCAATTTCAGCGGACTCTGGGACATGCGAAATTAGAAAACTAAAACGATTTTCTAAAATTTAAATTATTAAAGTAATTTAGTTATAGTAATAAATATCATTTAAATCTTCATTGTACTACAAGGATATTATGAATATTAGAGTGGTGAATATTTTATAGTGACATAATATGGTTTTATTTTGTTGTGTTTGGTAAAGTCTCACCATTTTCAGGTCGATAGTAAAGAATCTCATTTGGTCATTCAGGAGATAAAGCGTGATGAATACCCACATGGTAGTAAAAATTGCGGAAATTTAAATATTTATGTCGCAGTTGTTTATCTAACGGACGCATTTTACAGACGTTGTAGATACATAGAAGTGTAATATCTATAGTCGCGTATACCTGTATTTCGTGTAAATAATTCGTGCCAAAAGAAAGAAATTGAGGTAGGGGAACCTATCGCTGCTCGGGGTCGATGCCCATGGGTATTTGGACGATTTCCATAAAACTGCGCACCCTCTCATCGACATTCCACCTTCTTTATCAATTGACCCCGTTCGTCAAATGAGCATTGTATTCATTATTCATTTCTCAATTGACTCGATTCTAAATATAAATTTTTTCCATGTGATATGCACTTAAATTTGGTATTAAAAATTTAGCTATAACTGAAATTTTAATCTCCACCGGATAACAGTTTATGTAATTTAAATATTACCTTCGAATATTCATTAATAGAAAATTATTAAAAAGTTGTGATGTTTGGATTAAGTTTGAAAGGTTTTTGACCATAGTTCGACATACTTTGCCCATGGTTTGAAGTAATTAATAATTCCATATATATTCCAATAATTAATACTTCCATTTCCACGCGGGTATTTTTATCATTCGGTAAATCGATTTTATCTCGATTATTAAAAATTCGTGAAAATTATCACGTATGTAAAATAAAAAGTAAAGTATCTTACGACTGAGCAAATGAATAGAGCTTTTCAACATTTAAGTTGGCAATTCTCCATAAATTAGTGTAGAATTAATAATCGGAGAATTTTCAAGGTGCGGGTTGGTATTTTTGGTACTTGAAATTGCAAGCGCAAAGTCCAGTCAGGATTTACTTACTCAGTATCTATAGGTTTTATTCTTCCATATATCTTTCTATCTCGGAGGCATGGTTTGCAATAAAGTCGAGTCCACCTTAACATCCTCCGGACGACTTCCCACTCCGCTTGGCAAGCACGTCGGATTACAGGAGATTTGTGTATGTAAGGAGTGCGAATAAAGGAGAGAGGCATTTGAGGAAGATGGTCCAGAAAAAGTATCGCAGATTCAAACTTTATTTTCCAATAGTGTCAGACCACTGCCAATTTTAAATTGCAACACGAGAAGAATTTCTTTTGAAAGGAAGAGAATAGCTATTTGGCACATTGAAAATGTGGAAAAAGATTTCATTGGTTAATTGAGTGAAAATTTAACAGGAACTATAATCGTATTCCCAAACTTATAGGCGGAATCAAAGTATTGTAGTTTCTGTATATCTGACAAATTATTTTATACATTATAGCATTTTTTTCACCATATTTCTTTTGAATGGAAAGCTTCAAAGATAATCGATAAAATATGTAGATGATATACTATTCGAATGAGTCGACCCAGGTTGGTTTATTGATTCAAGATGCACAATGTTTGAAATTACTTCTAAACTGGTATGTGGATTTTTTTTAAACATCTTAATTTTAGTTTAACTATGATTTACTACATGATGTATTATATTTTTTGTAATTAATTGCTTATCAAGATATTTTCTCTATAGTCATAATTAACGGTAAAGTCTTTTTTACATAATCCAATTTATCCAGTGAGTAAAAATCCGAAATTAGAAAAGAGCAAATATTTGACCTGACAAAAGAGCCTGACACAATGGAGGAACGTTTGAATAAAAATAATTAAACTCGTAGGTATTCTGCACTAGCATAGTGGCATTTCCGGTAAGCGAGTGTCGGACTAATTCGAAACTACATATTTAATCCTGGACAAAGTCAGAGTTGCCCAGGCAACCGACAACACAAAGAACCCACTAGCCGCGAGGGACTTGAAACTCACATTGCACCGTGCTGAGGAATCACGAGTGCGCTGGGTGAAAGAGGATGTCTGGCCTCTACTGGAGGAACATACCTGGTTTCCAGTGGTAGTGAGTCGTGCGGATTCTAAGTGCACGCAAAGTGAAGAAGTAGAGCCGGGAGCTCTTCACCAGCTAACCTACAACCCTTCTCTTTTCATTCCTTCTTTCTTTTCTCCCGACGTTCTTCTCTCTCTCTCTCTCTCTATTGCTCGGTACCATTTTACAACGAGATGCACGACTCTGATGTCTGGCTGAGTTCGTTACATGAGTCGCACACTTATCCCAGCACAATTGTGTGCATTGATGCATATATAGTGAGAGCTTCATTCTAAAGCTGGTCCACCCGCATCTTCCATAGCTATGTATTTCTGAGAGAGAAGATACATGGGTTTAATCTTCACTCAAAGTAGCCCACAATCAACCAGACACAGCTATCTATGTCTGATGTTACAGAGATATGTTATAATATTCACTTCGCTTCTTCTCCTATACTCTTACAATTCACCAATCATTTGATTCAAAAGATTAATAATACCGTTCGGCGTAATTTTATTACTTGACATTTTTAGCCCGTATGACTTACTCAAATACCTTTAAATGTGACTTATTAAATTCCATAGTTCATAAAGAATGTGGATGAGATAATAAAAGTAAATTATGCTAACGATAAAATTAATTAATGAGATATTTTCCATGGGATAAAATTTACCAACCCTCAACTTTTCAACCAACTATGGAGAAGTTCATCGCGTCCACAGTATTAGTTTGCTAGCTCGGAAAATTTAAAGAAGTATTTTTAGAATGTAATGAAAATGAATAATCGATAAAGGAAACTAGATGAAACCATAGCAAAAAATATTGATTCTCAAAAATACGCATTTGTGACATAGTGTCAACTTAAATTAATAATGACCCTATTTTTGTATAATAAACCGAAATATTACTATATCTTCATTGTATTAATAATTGCAGGATTAATATTTGGACTAGAGAAGAGACTTATTAAATTTTTTCCTCATCTTAATAAAAATTAATAAAAATCTTTAACTTAATAAAAATCAGTAAAAATATGACATTTAATACAATTTTAAGGCAGTAGTCTCCTTTATAGGCTTAAAAAAATCAACTTTTTTTTTGTCTTAAATCTATTCCAAGACTATCGAAGAATACAGATTTTGTGACCAACCGTCGAGAAGGTGTGAATACTCGGGCAAACCCCAGTGCCCCGAAACCCAAAACACGTCAATTCCGGCTCTAAAATTGTCGAAATAGCGTCAATTTTGGCTGCAAGCATTTTTAACGAGGCATATGCATCTGTGCTTTCCACTATGCAACTCCTCGATATTGTCATCGGTCAGCAATGCAAGAATTTTGCAGACAACATCGATGCTGAGCGCATAACGCAGGAGAACCGGCTCGCATCATTTTCAAGGTTTTCGAGCAAGGAGGCTCGAGCAGCTTGACTATTAGAAAGCCTCCGCCAAAATGAGTTCTTCGAAGAAGAGAAATGATTGCTGTATGGTCCAGGAATAGCTGATTAACATTTAATTAGTGTAAGTATCCAAAAACTTATATTTTTTGGACCGAAAACTTTAAAGCGTGTTTTCTTGAATTTTCATTTTCACATGTCATAGAAAACGGTACCGGCGATAGCAAAAAGAACATTTATCCGATCGACAAAAATCAAAGTGATCTAGCTTCAGTATTAAATTATCTTCTATTTAAACTAAAATAGTTGGACAAAAGTATTATTTAAACTACTTCTTTTGCAACTTAAAATAAATTTTTTTTTTAAAAGTGAATTTTTGTTTCAAATTTTGAAAAAATTTGGAATTTTAGAACTTCTTCGGTATTTTTTTAGTTCAAATAGAAAAGAAACTTATAAAAATTAAAAAAAAATTTGGTTTGACTGTTTCAGATGCATCGCACGACCTCCATCACCGGCACCGATTTGTAAGTGCAGACTGCAGGCGCCCCAGAAAAATCGTTATAACTTAGAAGAATTTCAATATTTTTTAATAGTAAAAATTGTTTTTTTAAGCTAAAATATAGTATCACCTAAAAATTTCGTTTACCGCAATCATTTCCTTCCCTTTCAAAAAAATTGCTGAAAAAACGTTTTTTTCGGCTTCTAAAGGAGACTACTGCCATAAATACTTTTTTGGATCCAAATGAGCATTTTAGCCTACTTGAATACTGGTAGAATTAATTTGTATGGTAAGGGGCCCCATTCCGAATATATGATTTAAGTTTTTCAATAACTTCGGACAGTGTATTATAAATGTATTTTGCTAAAATTTGAGGCGGAGATGTTACATTATTTTGATGATTGTTCTAAAGGAAAAATAAGTCTTGTGTATGTTCGGTAAACCATAAAATTCAAGAAGCAAAGTGTCAGTTTGGATAAGTTTTCTGTCAATGTATGTACGGTCAAGGTAACTATTAATGTTCCATCTTTTACGAACGTAACAATTTTTTTCTGGAGATGATAAAGATTTATACGTGTGATCATTAAACGGGGGATTATGAGAAAAATGTAACGCCAAGATCACAAATTTAAATGTTAACAGATTACACTGTTACCTCAGATTTCACAATTTCTCATTTTGTAATGAAAAATAAAATTTGTTTTCATTTGACTCCCTTTAATATAAAGACGAAAGTGAATCTCTCTAATTCTCATTTTGGCATTCCAGTACTTTAATACAATCTAATTTTCCTCTCCCTTTAACGAAACGACCATAACCAGTCGTATTTTCATCTCTATACATCTTTTTAACCGCTGTATTAATATAACTCTCCACTTTTGCCTCGGGTTATATTTACAATTTGTAAAGTTTCCACGTTATATATGAGAGCATTTTATGAAATGAATAGATGATAAAGTATATTTTCTTAAGTTGCAAAAGAGGGATGGTGTACTAACTCCCCCTTGTTCGTACTCGATCAACGCAAATTGTAACTTTGCGAAGGGAGCAAAGTTGTTTAATTATTTTGTACCCCCCACGGTTCATTAACCGCGACCTTAACCACAGATGAGTTTATCAAGTTTCATTCTATAACCCCCGCGAAAAGAGGATAACAGTCTTACCTATGTTTCCACCAAAAGTTCACTTAATTAGTGTCCAATTTAATTAACCTTGGTAATTTAAAGCAAATTAATTTCATTATAAAAGTTCACTTTAAAATAAACTGTTGTTATTTTTTAAAAAATGTCGAATTTCATTTTTAAAAATTTTTTATTGCAAATTCTGTATTTTCTTTATTATAACATTTGTTTTTGTTACTTTAAATGCAACCAATAGTGCTTCATGTGTTCCATTATTTTATGAGGAAGTTTACACAACTGGTAAAGGCAATTGCATGTTCTGGTCTCTATCTCCATCAAGAGATCAGATTGTAGATAACGACAACACTTGAGGATCTGTAGTGCTGATTCAAACTGACACCGATAGGTGAATGGGCAAATGGTCGAATTTAGGGGTGAAATCCGGTGAGTAGGTAATAGCTATCGGTTCGAGTAGGCTAGTTGCAGTAGGTTAGGATCTTGTACCCGAGGCAAGAGATTACTGAGCATTAGAAATAGATGGTTGGGTCACGAGGATCCCTCCGGATATCCTTTGGATTAGAAAGGATTACGTGCCAGATTAGAAAGCGATTCGACGATTTGGAACGTCGATACATACACCATCTTGTACTCAAGACGCTTCCGTTTCATGCTCGTATTTCATTTATCATCCAATTCCAAACAAACTTGCATTACTTCTACACCATCTGATTAATTTTAATGTTCAATAAATTCTGGTTTAATGTGTGACGTATAAACAACAATATAAAAAACAAATTTTGAGACTTTCAAAAATTACGTCACAATTTATTACAAAAAAAACCTTCCAAACACGTTTAGGAGATGCGAAAGGTTTTCTTAAAAAATTACAAACGAAGTTTAACGAACTGATCATTTTTAACATGAAAGAAGTTAGCGCGCTTATATTCCCTTCGAAAGTTAATGCCAATAATCACTGAAAAGACGTTGTCGTTGCCAGGAGAGGACAAGATTGCCAAGGGCAGATGATGGTAATAGCGTCTTCAAACAAAACAGAAGGACCACCTAGGGTTTTGCTGAAAGACGCAAGTTGTATTTATTTCCTCGCTACCCCTTGGATAGGGGTAATCATTGGAAAAGACGAAGGGACTTTACCCTTGTGTTCATACTATTCGCTGCTAATCCGTATTCTATATAGACGACCATAGATAAAAACTCTAGGGTGAAATAGACCGTTCGAAAGAATAGAATCTTCCTCTCGCCTTTGATAAATTTTTTGCCTTATTTCTAGAGCACTGGCAGTTACTTTGATGACGGATATAAGCTCTTCATTAAATACGACCGACGCCTGGACGCCAAAAGTTTGCGGATCGAGAGTGAACCTAATGGTGCAAAACGAATGAGAATCATAAAGATAGATTCGACCGAGTTCAGCGAATTTTAATCTTTACCAAAAACAATGTTTTAATCTTGAAATTAAACAGATTTTGTGATCAAAATTTTAATTTAATTTTTACAATTTTAAATAAAGTTCTTTTGAGTTGAAATTGGAAGAATGTTAGTGAAAATTCATCAATTAAGGGAGTAATTGTTAAATTCGTTGCACACAAATATTGTTCAACCATGTGTTGGCAATTTTAAATGTAATTTAATTAAATATTCATGGTAAATTAAATTTAAATTACAATTTATTTTGAAGTTTTTCGTGCTTGTGTTATGTCCCAAAAGGAGACTAGTACTAGTTATTTTAATTAGTTGCCTGATTTATTTACGAAACCGACGGTTTTGAACTAAAGGAACAGGCTTCATAAAATAAAAGCTTAAAGACTGAATGCTGACACGTTTATTTTCTCAATTACAAAATGAACCTTGACAAGAATCTTTGGAATTGACAACTCGAACTTGGTCCGTCCTATTGATTTCCACACTGAAAAAAACCAATCAGTTAAAATAATAATAGGACCCAAATATAAGATTTTAGATAAAAACTATTTTACTTATAAGTGTATTCTTTGTGTAGACTTAAGTCAATTGGATGCAGGAAAACTATTGATTGGTGAGGGTGGCCCAATCCTGGTTGATCCTTGGCACGACCTGTTGATGGAAAGTTCCTTGAGCGTTGAGTAACGCTTCCCAAGCGTTAGTTGAACGTTGGATGAGGGTTGTCTGAGCGTTACCGAAACGTTGGATGTGTGTTGTCTGAGCGTTGGTTATTTTATAAACAGGGTAACGTAGAATTTAGAAAGGAGTGCCCAGGAGTCAAGAAATTGGATACGAGCAGAATTTATTCGCTCAACAGCACTGATATAATTTTTACAAAGACGATGAGTATAATTTCGGTGGCGGATCTTGACTGACAAAAAGGTTTTTGATAGACATATAAGTACACAATATTTTACATATAATTTTAAGAAAAGTCACGATGACGTGACACTTGCAAAATTAAAAAAAATAGAAAATTGTGTATCGAGTTTTTATAATTATTTTTAGAACATTGCAAAGTAATTTATAATACTATATTTATCTTGCAAAAAGTATCATCATATTTCAAAAAATTTCTTTCTTTCGTACATCTAATTTCTGTTCAATATTCATAAATTCCAATATGAATAATTTAGCAAGGAATGAATAAATAGCATTTAAAATTCAACGGTACGCGAATTTGTCGAAAAAAGTGAATAAATGGTTACTGGGAGATTTAAAATTTTTAATATTTTAAATCTGCAAAGATTTACGGATTAGCTTATCCTTTTTGTAACTAAGTTGACAAACAGTTTTAATAAGAAATTTTCCCCTTTTTAATTTTGTCTCTTTGACAAGCATAATCCTGGTATCAATATAATCGCAGTTTCAACACACTTGACTTGATATAGCAAAGGGGGGGATTGTGAATTTGATCGATGAGGTCCTTTCGACGCAAATGTATAAGCAAAAGACAATATTGACTTTCGTCGAGCCATTAAATATTTCGTCACCTTTGCAGTAACATCAATGTCCACCTAGAGAATATGCGGTGGAAGAATTCAAGGATACTTTTCTTCTATTTTTATCGGTCTCTCTGGAAGGAAGTCGAAGTTCACGAAACTGCAGTATTTCGGGTCATTGAACACCGATGTTAGACGGACATGAGAGAGACCCGACTTTTCTTCAGCCACATTTGCAACTTCTCAAGTAAATCAATTTTTCGCGTCCCACCAAATCGGATTCGTTTTGCCAGTTGAAGAAAAAAGTCGCGAAAAGAATGTCTGGAGATAAAGAATTGAAGAAAACGAGGTTAAAATATAAAAATGTACTACCGAATGTATCAAATATTAAACAGATACACTTTAAATATTTTTTGACAAATGCAAAAGTGAATCTTTTAATTGTTCAAGAATTATTATTTAAGTTTGATTTAATTTAAGACGTCCCAATTTTTATATTTTTATCTATAGTCTTCCATGCGATGACAGAACAGGACCAAAACAAAATAGTTTTCATCTTCTTGGCGCTCTTGAATATTCGAGATTCACATCCAAATATAATGCACCACGAATTATCAAAAAATCCATAATTTACGAAAGAAAATAACAAAAACTTTATTCTTTAATTCTTTTGAAATTAAAAATACAATATTCATATAGTTTACATTTCCACAAACACAAAGAGCCATTTTGGTTGCCAGTGACTGTTGGAGCGAAAAAAATTTTAAAAGAAGCACCAAAATACGCTAGGCAAAAATGTTCACCAGTTAACCTCGATCTTTTGCCCGCGTTAGTGTCGTCTCGAAAGTTTATCGTTGTTTTACGAGAAAACACATAACCACAATGCTTGCCCGGAAAAGCTGCGTACATATAGTGATACGCTTGTCTCTAAAGAAAGCTTCTCATCCTCTCGCGAACGATAATTTTCTCAAATGTGATTATAAAGCTCGCGACAAAGCCCTGCCCATTTCTACAACAATCCAGTTAGTCTGTTTTTGCTTTATCTCACGAAATGGGTCGAGAAAACTTTTGACGTTCTTTTTTTCATGTAAATCGTTTTAAACGCGTCTTTACAAGAACATCTTCTCCTACATTTAAATAATATATGCTTAAGATTAAGCTATGTTGTGAAAAAAATACCAAGATAACATTCATTACAAAGGGAAAAGAAAAATTGTGACTATACGACTGAGAAATAAAGTGTAAATTGAGTACGATTATAAAGAACTGGATGATTCATCCAAATGTCTGTTGCCTTACAAATTTAAATTTTTAGATAAATACCACGTTGATTTCAAGCCCATTTGTTTCGTGCTCTATAAATTTAGGAGGCTTATTGATCTCAACACAAATAATCTAGAGGAAGTCTGCCTAAACCAATTAGTCTGTTAACTTGATTGTAGTTTTCATATCACGTAATTGAATCTTCAAGAAAATATATGACTTTCTGTTACACAGATACAAATTAATTTGTGAAAAAGTCACTAAGAAGATCGCTCTTAAACGATGTCAAATTTATTAAAAGGTTGGTAATATAATCCTTATTATTGTGTTCAAGATATTTACTTGACTTTGTATTGTATAACGTCTATTAGATTTTTGTAAAATCTGATCATTCTCAAAAATGCAAATGAAAAATGAAAATGAACGATAAAATGCAGTTAAAAAACACTTTAAATTTTTTTTTATACACACTTTGTTTAATGGAGATAAAAGATCTCTAATAAGACATTTGTGATTTCTTCTACATTTCCTCGATTAATGAGCCTTTAACGTGACAGAAAGGGCATTCTCTATAAAAAAAAGCAGAACCACTAACCACAGTGGATTTTCGAGCAACATTTCGTTCCTCATTCAAGTTTCCCTTCGCATTTTCACCCTCGTTTTCGTACCCTCATCTCATCCACTAATACACAACCGTCTATACGACGTCCCCAAGACACCCTCTTATTTCCTCTTCAGTCGATCTCAAATGCCTCTATATTCTCCTCCTTTCTTTCTCTCTTTCATTGCAGTCATTGCAATCTTTTTCTCTCTCATAGAAAACATGATAGCGTCCGGGAATGTGGATTTTTATACTTCCGCTGACAGTATGCGGAATCCGCCTGTTTCTACAATCAATTTTCGTCCGGAAGCTCTTGCGCCTTTCACCGCACGGAGTAAAATTTATTATTAATAAATGCAGAGATATATCAACGCGTCTCATATATATATATGGAGGAAAAAATACGGGTTTTGATATTGCCCTCAGGACTTCGCATGTTTTACGTTAGCAATTCACACAGATTTTATGTAATGTAACAGTCCGAGATTTCCCTTTTTTTTATTAAAAGTGAATTACCACCAAAAAGCTGTATTTAAACAAAGCTTGAAAGTAAAAATTATATTATTCTATAAACTACAATTTTATAACACAGTGACTAGATAACAGAGACAACCTAAAATACTTGGAAATATACCTTTTCTCGAAAATAAAGAAAATTTCTACGAAGGAAGATCGTTTACGTCACCAAAATTAGCCCCTAGATTATTGTTCTGTAATCCACACATTGTCTAGTGCAAATAATCATTAACTTCCCACTTTCTTAACGAGATCACTTTCCCATGATAGCCCAGTCATCTTGAAAATTTTGTCTCCTAGTCCCTTCTAAGTTGTAGCATCGTTAAGGATCATTAAGCCATTCCTTCACGTTTCTGGAGAAAAGCTACCTTAAAATATTAAAGTTGCTAGTATCAACATAAAACAAAAGTAATATCCCACATTTGTAATTCATTGTAAGCTGTTTAATTAAAATTAAAATAAAATATTTTATTTTACATATTTAAAGATAATAAAAGTCTATTTATTTTTCTGCACTTATACAAACTTTAGTTTTTACTCAAATAATTTTGATGGAGGAAGGGGTACTTGAAAATAGACGATAATTATTAAGTGTCATTAATAGAAGATAAATACTAAATGGTCAATAAATATTTGATAAGTCTAGATAAAAAATTAATGGACATCTTAAAGGGGAAGGATCCATCGACTTTTCATCCCCTTTTTATTTTTTGCTGGAAAAATATTTATGACTATGTAGGCGGATATTTACTACACTCTGTTTAAGTGTTTCAATCTCCGAAACTACAGATAATAGAGATTAATCTTATTATAGAGTGTTGTAATCTTACTTATTTAACGAATTTGTAAAAACTTCTAGATTAATTTTTCCCTTTTATTAACTTTTAATATCATTTCAATCAGTTACATTGATTTTCTGAATATTGGTAACTCAGCCTAAACTTCCACAAATCTTGTCTCTATAAAACAAATCTATTTTTAATTTCAAGACTTCTGTATTATATTTGTCCAGTGTAATATTTTTTGGGAACTTATAATTATAAATTACATTCTTCAATCTTATAATTTTTAATTGATGATCCGTATTAGGGAACTTCAGCAGCTCTAAGTAGGTAAACTACCCTAATCTCAATGAGGAAACTAAAATTATAAGCAACCACAAGGTACACTTTATTTCACAGTGTGTCGTTTTCAAAAAAGGGATTGTAACCACTAGAATCTTATCTTTTCAGTATAATCCGATTCTTAAATCCTGAGCTTCTCTACTTAAAGAAGAGAATTAACTCTAAATGGAAAGTGAATTAAAAAATAAAACTATATTAGATAATATAAATAAAAATACAATAGAAAAAATTAGAAGAGAAATCGAAATTATTACATAAAGTGAAAAAATAATTAATGTAAGATCTTACAGATCTTATAGTCATAGAGCTAAGCCAATAGACACGTAGATCAACTATAATTATGTAATTGAACTATCTGACACTACTTAACGCTCCTATCTACAGTTCCATAAATTCTTCTTTTAGTCTTATATGTTCTTAGTTCTAGCGAATTCTTGGCCTCTTCGAGGGCCGACCTGAAGAAGCGGCATCCTTCACTGCCTGTGACGAGGCTTACGCTTTCTCCAAACTTTTCCTTACATTGAAAACAGCTTGGGCTCCTTTTACAGTTCGCAAACTTATGATCGACTAATCCACACTTGAAGTACAAATTCGATCTGTTAGCTGCCTTACAAACTAATCCTATCTGGTCATGTCCAGGACAACGAAGGTATCGTACCACCATACACATTCTCCTGACTGGGCAACTCATAAATCCAATCTGGATGTACCCCAATTTCACCAGATGATCCACTACATTCTGTTCGGTGATCACAACAGCGAGCTTCATCCCTCGCTTATTTGGTCCTAAGACAATCATCTTCCTACTTTTCTGCTTCTAGAGAACATCTTGCAGCCTCTGCTGCACATCAGCTTTCTGTGTAAGACAGTAAAGTAACTCTTCGGTCCACCGACGGTACTACTCTGATTTGTATAAAGAGGTCTCTCTTTCTTGTTGGCCTTGCCCCAAAATGCGCATGTGACTGACGTCTGGATTCACCTTCTTACGAAGTTTACCCACTACACTTCGTCCTCTAATTGAAGAAGCATAATAGCTTCTTCCCGCTTTTAATACTTCGCACTTCTCGCGATCCTCTATTATAACCTCCTCATCTTACTCTGAAGGCACCAGACTAATCGCACTTTTTGTGCTACTAACACTCAAGAGGCTAGATGAATTTGCTCTTCCACTTTCTCTCTCTCCTTATACGATTGTCTGTGGATCTAACGTTTCCACGAAAAGCTCCGCGACCACGACAAGGTCTACGAAACATATCCAAGATGACAGTAACGTTTGGCAGTGGACAAGCACTGCCCAAAATATCGATGACATCTATTATGTTTGTCAGTGGACAACCATCGATGGAGATTATCAATATAATAATATTTATAATCATTGGTGGTACCAAAAATTGTCTTGGAAAGAGTAGATAGACGAGGAAGTACGAGCAGCGTTACAAGTCAAGCCAGCTGCATTTCTGTCTTCAGTAATGCTTTGGCTAATGACATTGCTTGCTGTAATAAAGATCGAGAACAAGCTATAAGTCTTCTGGAGGAAGAAGCAGCTTGTATTCAAAGAATGGAGGACGAGGCCACTAAGATGCTGAAGTCCTGTGATGTCCAGAAAAACGTCAATATGACGATTAAAAACGGACTGAAAAGCATAACAACGCTCATACAGGAGATTAAGAAGAAGCACGCAGCTGCAAAAAAGAGTAGATAGAGGATTGTTGGTAGAGGTTCTACAAACAATTAGTGTGGTCAGAGGAATCAAGACAAGATCGAAGAGTGAGACGCGACCGCTTAAACGCTGTAGTGTTAATAAATGTCGTCCTGGTAGGTCAGAAGCGGAAGAGGAACAGTCCTGAGTTGAATAAAAAATCAAAGAAGAATGAAGGACTTCCAAAAAAGCCGAAGGACCAAACACAGATAGAAGGAAGGCCACAGAAAAGGTCATCAATGATTGTTAAGGTGGCTAAAGGGTTCGACGTTCGCAGCAGTTCTAGGAAAGATCCGTGAGGAGGTAAACACAGAAAAAAGCAATACAATCTGTGTGGAAGCTTTACCCACCAAAAAGTGGGACCTCTTTATCAAACTTAGAGGTTCTTCTGATAAGGAGAACTTCATCAACGAGGTGACTAGGATGATTGGTGACCTGGGTGAGGTACAGATTGTAGTCTCTGGATAGAGTTTCGGCAATGCCAGTAGGAAGAAGAAAGATAACTGACCTGGGACCTAACAAACGAGGTGTTAGGTGCTCGCTATTGTTAACCACACAGAAAGATGCAGAGAATCTGGAACGTCTCAGATACATAAGGGTTGGCTTTTTGTCTTGTCCAGTGAGGAAAAGAGTTATGGTCACAAGGTGTCATAGGAGCCTTGACTATGGTCATATAGGCAAAGATTGTAAATCGGTAGATAGGTCAGCTGCGTGCTTCAAGTGCGGAGAAGCCGACCACAAGATAGCAGACTTTAAAAAGAGCCTGTGTTGCTTCTTATGCGAAAAGAAGTTCGACGGGACGGGAAGGAGAAAACTAACCACGTCGTAGGATCAGGAAGCTACAAGGTTCAAAACCTGGACTCGCGGAGACATATTTAATCCTTCATTATTTAAATTAATGGGGAAAAGATATCAGAGACGAAATACGAGGTTGACCGGAAGAATCCAGTGCTCAGAAGTGTGTGAGCGTGGGGGAGGAAAACATTTAGCTTTTCCTTCCGTCCTTGCTTAGACATTGCATGAGAGGATAAATGGAAAATTAAAGAGCAGGACAAGTGGACCAACTCTTGCGAAGTTTAAGGCCTGACGGTAGTGCTGCAGGTGGATCAAAGTATCCCAAATCAAGACGGGAGTGGTTTTTAGTGGGTCGATCAGAACAAGAGCGGTCATCCCCACATAACCTGGATTTATCTAACCAGGTATCTAAATTTATAGATTTTCTACTTCCGACTACAAAAAAAATCAATATAATAATATTGATAAAATCAATATATAGTAATATTGATAATGAATATAATAATATTGATAATCAATATAATAATTAATTTGTGGACACAACGTAATGGACTATGAATATACAGATCTGTATATTAAATGACTTAACATCTGGATAAGTAATCTATTACTTATCCAGATGTTAAGTCATTTAAAATATTTCCTAAATAAATTGATAAATTTATTTCATTATTATAATAATTACATACTGTAATTAGTATATTTTATAAATTAATGTATTTAACTATCGTATCGATGCCTTTGGAAAAATAAAGAAAATTGTAAATATTAAATTCATGGAGCATAAATTCAATTAGCATTACGATTTTCTAACATGTATATAAGAAAATATTTAAAAAAAACAATTTTATCTATAAACATCCATTGCAATGTGGAATATTTTAATACTATTGAAACCCCTTGAAATGGTTTTTGAGTTGGATTGAAAGATTTTCTTAAAGAATACATGATTCCGAAGAGTGCACGTGTTTCATATTCTTGTAAGGAAAGTATATACACGAAAATACAATAAGTACTGGCTTTACTCGACGGATTCTGAGGACTTGAGCGGCATCATGCAAGTGCACCGAAGGCGGTTTTCCGCAGTTTCTATCTTTTTTTTATGAAGCTATCCTCTCGGTACACGCGAATGCATATATCCCTTGATATAATGGAGAACCTGAATGTACATTTAGGTATATCCAACATCGTCTAAGAGGTCGGCTTCGACCGCACTTTTTGACGGTAAAAATATTCTGTATAAATCTTCAAGCATCGTATTGTACACAGTAACGTTAGTGGAAAGAAACGTAGTTGTCGAAATATATACTATATGTACATGCTTTTACGTGTTTGCGTACAGTACTACTTCCCAAGAACCCTTATCTCTTTCCTCTAGCGTTGGGCCGACGTATCGACGATATTATTGATATTTTATTCGTATTTACCCCACATTCGCTGAGCGTCTCGTCTGAAACCCAGGTTACGCCTCATGAGCCTCTACTGTATAGCTACGGCAATATATAAAAAAAAGCTCAAACGCTTCCTGTCTTTGTGAGCTCGGTTTGATGTATGCTCTTCTTCTAGGCCTTACTTTTCTTCCCTTTTTTATTCCTCTCGGCCACTGACTTGATAGAATTTAAAAACGGCAGTGCAACCTCCTGAAAATATTGGAATTTTGCTTCTATGAATATTAAAGGGGATCTTACAATTTTCTACAAAGGTCGATCATATGAAACGCTGGAAAAATTGGAATTCTAATTACAAGCAGAAATTATTGGAGATAAAATTTATAAATTAAAATTAGAAATTGGTAAAAAGTTCTATTACTTTTTACATTAAATTTAAAAAAACAGATCTTTGAATTCACAACGCTTCAAATTCTGTGAAAAGATTTAGGGGATGTAGCATTTTTGGTGAGCAATTCTCTGAAGTGTAAACGCAAACTTGGCAAAGTTTCATTCGTACTGCATGAATGTAGCATTGGAGAGGGCTTTCGAAGTTCAAAGGTCGTGACAAATGACGTGGAGAGTAGTAAGAAAAAGCTCATGGTATACAAAATGTTCTCCAATGTTGTACATAAAAGTCGACGACTAAACTGTTTCTCAAGAACTCGGTAGGATTAATTACAAATACCAACATTTGTAAACAAAGAGAAACCATCTAAACTAATTAAAATATGATCATCAGGAATAGAAAAAAATTTAATTTTGTTTATAAAATCATAACTATTGCATATATATGATTTTGGTTTATTTATAGAATTATTAAGAAGTGTAAATAATTGTTTGGATAAAAAATGAGTTGGTGAGTTAATAGTAAAAACAACAAGTCTTACAGGATTGTTATTCTTATTTACCTTGGCTAAACCATAAATTTTTTAAGAGATTCGTATTAGTTTGCGTGAGTTCAATGTCACTTAATTTTCTATAAAGCAGATCATTATTATTTAGATATTTTAAAATTTTATAAGTTTAAGGTTTTAAATTTGGTAACGGATCTCTATTAATGACTTTGAAGGTCTTTTTTATCAGAAAGTAATAAATCATAAGTTTTTGTTTATGTATATTCGCGGTCTTATCCTAAGGGAATTTTTTTCTAGTAGGTCAATTAGAATAATTGCACCCAGTGCCTCACAATCTTAGAAACACTAATTCCAGGTATCCTGTTATGCAGATTTTCCACTTCTCACAAAAAAAAAATATTTTCATGAAAATTTTGTCGTAAAACTATTTTTCTCTATTATATTTCCATTATAAAGCACTGAATGCGTGCTCTAGATGCAATTTGATAAACGAGGCTCTGTTAAGAGACTGGAGAGGTTGAAAATTAATTCCAGAGTGCCAAAGTACTCACGAGGTGGTATACAAGGTTGTGCATGTGCAGCAGCATTCTGGATTTGCAAAGTGCGACAGAAACAAGGGCCCGTACTATAATAATGCGTGGCTCATTGCCCGAATGTTCGACGTGGCAGTGTTTCACGCTATCGTGTCACGAGTGCCAGATAAATACGGGGCCACGACTCGCTCTTTACTAGTGAATAAGTGCAGGTTGCTCATGTGGCGTGGGTACAAATTACACTAAAGTTTATGTATGTGTGTATTTACATCATGCATATATAAACCACATAGCTTTGCGTGTATATACAAATCCATTTTACTAGAACCTAAGAAATTCACTTTTTTTTATGTTTTAGTCACATTATATTTGATGATCATAGTTTAGGTAGAAAAATAAGGTAAAATAGTTCTCCTCCATAAGTTGTCACGATTTCGCTGAGGGAAATTTTCCACAACCACTTAGCATATATGCAAAAATTTAATTACAAAATTCTAAAACGACATGCTGCGTGTGTTTATGCAATAAATTTTGTGATTTTATTGAGAAAAAAGTGTTCTAACGATGACATAAAGTAAAAAAGAAAATGATAAAACTATGTCATTATTATCAAAACTCGAAATTTAACGAAATCTCCTAACAATTTTTTTTTTCTTCGCTTCTTTTTAGACTTGCATGGTAGTTTGCTCATAAGTCAACTTGAACTCATTAAAGAATCTCAGAAGTTTAAAAACAAATATTGTGAAAACGTCCAGACGGAAGGCTCGTTAGACCCCATCTACATTTAACTACTACTTTAAGCTCCCACCTCATTTGAACTTCAAGCTACTTAAAATTAATGATTGAGTACACTTCTATTTTTCCGGAAAAATTAACCTGAAATTCTATTGAAAGTGTTTCTAAGATATTAAAGTATTATTATTCTTTTTATCTTAAGGGCTTATTATACATTATTTTACTCTTTTTGCAATTTTCTTTCTGCATTCATAACTTCTAATTTCATTTAATCTACTTAACTGTAGTTTTTAAACTTTCTTTGTAAAATTATAAATACAAAACATTGTTTAGAACACATGGATATACAGTATTTATTGATTCGTGTAACCAAATTAGTATAAAATGTTTAACTATTTGTCATTAGCAAGTTTACTCAAATTCGGATTAAGTTTGCACATTTTTGTTTTTTCAAATTTTTTGTGCTTGCTTTTAGGAATTCAGTAAACTCCAAGTAATAATAAGTTTCAAATGAATATACGATGAATTTAAAAAAATCATTAGCCATATTGCACTGACCTTCTTAAATTTTGAAAAAAAAATTTTAATTAAAAATTTCATTATATAAAGTTTTGATATTAATTTTATTCAGTCCCGGGAGATTCTCGAGAATTGTGGGAAATATAAATAATGTTAAAATCCTAAATTACTCGATCTTAATTAAAATCAGTATTAAACAGAAAAATGAAAAATTACAATCGGAAAGACAGATTATTATTAAATTTTTACTTCCTTCTCTCGAACGATTTTTCTTGAAATTATTAAATCTTATTTTTATCATATAGTTTCATGACTCTTTCTTTTAATGTAATTTTCTTAAACTCATTTTCCTCTAATATTTCCGACTTTCATTATTTTACTTTAAAAACACAATTATTACTTTATTAGACTTTATTCCTTAAATCAGTTTAAAATTTTTAGTTTTTCTTCTATTTATAAATATATTATTTACATTTCCTTTGTCCTAAATGTAGTAACTCTCTAATTGTTATGAAATCTGAAACTTATGAATATATTTCAAAGCATATAGTTCATAAGGAAACAATTTTTAATTTTCTCAACTAAACTATTAATCTGAAATTTTTATCATAAACTCTGTTGATCCTTAGCAAGCTTACAGAGTTTAGTTTCATTTTCGACTTTAAGCAAATTAAATTCCGATTTGTTTTCTAATATACAAGTTCTATTTCATTGCCCACATAAGTTTCTATCGAATTTGTTTTGCGCATGAGTTTCCAATCTATGTACAGTCGGTATAGTAGTTATATAGATAACGTCATTGAAATTTTGTCCTTTAATTCAAAACTGTGCGCGAAATTCAAATTTATTTGTGAAAAGTTGACATTTTCGTCCTCTATATATCTATAGTGTATTTCAATTGGAAACTCACTAGGAAAATGAACTGGATAGAATGTTATTTCAAATGAAAGTTCTGTCAAATGGAAATTTAATCAAATGCAAACTTGATTTAATGTGTTTCAATTATAATTACTATATATCCAAAAGAGACATATTCTACTAATTGGAATTTCAGTTTTTTTTTATACTTACTGTTAATTGTTCCTTTACGCCTTTATTTTCTAATAGTATATAATTCAATTACTTATGGTAGTATTTAAGATTAAGGACTAAATCATAATTTGCTTTTCAGTTTATTCAAATTATTTTATTGTTTCATTTAATTTCTTCTGGGGTGTTAGGTCTCAATAAAGAGAGTAAACTAATAATTATATTTTATATAATGTTCGCATCAGTGGTATATCCTATTTTATTCACAGAGCTAAAATTAAATTTTAGGTCTTCCACAATCTCTCTTGACGATATATCGTTCTTTTTCTTAGCCAGTTTCACAATCATAGTGTCTCCTCTCGCAGTTGTCTTAGGTTTTCTCAATTGGATCCAAAAAGAATATGGTTAAAAGTTGGAAATTTCTCAAATCATGGAGTTAATTATTTTTGCACCTAGCGCAGTGAGGCAAATGTTTTCCAATTTACATTATACACAATACACAAAATGAGATAGTAATTTCTAATTTGTTTAACAATAATACAATGTTTACTAAAATCTGTTTCAAAAATTTCAAAAATTTTATTTGTAAATAAGGTTATAGGATTATTATGTATCATTTCAATGGGAGTATTCCAAGAAGCATGGACAATAATTCTTACTATTTTAGATTGGAATTGCTGAACAATTTCGTTGTTAGAATTACTGTCAGTTCACTGTGATGGAATTCGAGAGGTCCGACACCATTATAAATTTGTAGAATAATTGTTTAGTTTCAAGAGAGAGTTTAAATCTTGTTTCTGTTGTAATGCGATTATAGAAATAATTTGTTTTGAATCAATTTTTAATTTTTTTTTGTTGCTCATAATGTTCTTTTTGTAGAAATATGAATATTTGACTCCTTATAAAAACATACATTTGAAGAGGTTAAAAAGCAAACCTAGGAGAGAAGAGTCAGTCAGTTCAGTTAAGCAGTCTAAAGAGTAGTCTACCTAATTTTAAATATAAATTCTATTTTTGTTTATAACAATTGGAATGTTTGTTTATTTAATAAATTTGTGAATACTGTTTATTTATTATCTTCAAAGATCGTTATTTGTTGAGGGACATTAATCTTAATGTTTAAGAGATAAATTAAGTTTCAATCAATTCCGTCTGGGAATCGTAAATTTCAGTGGAGGGCGTTTAGTCCCTCGATACTGATTTTGGTATTCAAATACCGTTCGGGGTGGTTTCGCACATGATATAGATATTATAAGTTCATACGAACAGGAGTTTAGTTTGCTCGACCTTCATCGCCTTCTCGACAGTTACGACTTCCGGGTCGAGCCAAATTTAATGGGAGTCAAATGTCGTGATTTATCGCAGCAAGCCATTCAAGTGGCAACAGATGCTGAGAAAGGTCGATGACCATGATGCATTTCGTCTCGACCCTATCGATTGGCACTTGCACCTCTCGCGGTTTCTCACCCTTTTTACTGGATGAGGGAAAACCCCCTCCCCCCTTCTTGACACTGTCTTTTCTGGATGCCGTTAATGTCACTGGGGAAGGCGCACGACATCCGATAATGCCAAATTCAGAGTTTATCTTCTGTCTTCTACATTAAGCCTCATCCCTTTTTTCCTCTATCTTTCCTGTCAGGAACTTCTCAAAACTTTTCTCTACCACCCTTTTTGAGAACCGAGACAGATCAATCGGCTTTCTCGAAAAAAGATTTTGCTTTTCTTTTATTTGCTCCCTTCTTTATTGGAGAGATAATATTTTCCAAGCCGCACGTGTCCTTTGTGTAAAGATGTCGAAATTCCCGTATAAGCGAATAAGATAGAATCTCAGTTCCTCAGGGACTTATTTTCGATTTGGATGGTTTGGAATTATAGTTTGTCGTGGGGTTAATTAGTGGGAGTGAGTGACAGATCAAAAAAAGTGGTTTTTTAATTAAAATAGGGATCATTAAGAGTCAAATGCCAGGAATTGTGAAACGAGCATTGTCAAGTAATTTTCTTTCTTTTTTGGAAATGTGTTCCACTTTGGGAAAACTTACTTTTACTTTAGAAACCGCAAGATCCATCAATGCCATCTTTTTAAAAAAGTTTTAACGACCAAAGGACTTTGTGTTACAATGGGTACTTAAGTATTAAAGTACTTACTATACACATCAGATAACATCGATCATCTTCGTTTAGAAAGTGTAAAGTGTGAAATGGATTTAGATGTCTCTAGGGATGAGAATTTAATAGGGTATTACACCTGGATAACCCAGACTCCATGCAATGAATTTCATTTAATGTCTCGCCAAGCTACATACGTGAACTCGTAAAGCATACCTACATCCGAGAACAAGTTTCGCTATTTACTTTATCGATTTGGAACACCTCGTTGACTACAATACAAAGGGGAAAATGTTGCAGGAAACGTGATCTTTACATCAAAAGCAATTCATTTACAATTTATTTACAGTTTGTATATTTCCGATTTTAATACAAGAAAGAGTAATAATTTCCTAAAAATAGCATCTACTAATTTTGAGTTTTAATAGCAAATTTTAATTTAACTAATTTTGAATTATTTTTTATACCAACTCGTTATCTAAATTGTCTTTCAAATATTGTTTACCAAACCGCAGACTAAATCGTTTTTTTTGGGAATTAATATGTACGTCTGTTTTTAACGGAAGGAAATTAATACCACCTGTACAGTTCTACTATATTATGCTGTGTTCAATATTGTATATGGCTTTGACACAGACGAGATGAGCAACTTCAGTTTTGCTTTTTGCTTGTTTTTTTTATCATCCAAACAGCTCACGTTTCAGTGACCTCGAGTAGAGATTACGCGTTTTTCCCCACTCGAGAGTAGATTAATTAATTAAAGTGCCTACCAAGCACACTGCAGTGCAAATACCGACAGTGTCAGTATAGAAATACCGCGCACTGTCCCGTTGAGCATTGGGTCCACGGAATTGACAGTCTACTCTTTTTTTTTATCGTGTTTTTATTACCGAAACCAGAGTTCACTCTATTTTCTCGTCACGAAATTTCATTGCTTCAGTTCTTTTATGAGCTAAAGCATTTATCGTGTAACTTAATGGACGCACTGATTTTCTTATTCTTCTTTCTTCACTGTGTATGTTTCATTTGGAATTTTCAA